GAACAACCTTCATAGAACACAAGGGGACGGGTCATAACCGGAAAAGCATGACATGGGACCTTTAAGTTTTGCTTCTTTGTTTTGAATTTTGTAAAGGCCTCTTTTCTTTGTTGCATGTGTAAAAAGTTTGTTATTTTATTTTGAGCATTGCCTAATATCATCCAAACCATCGGAGGCCAAGCAACTCATCGACTGTGAGTAACACGAATATAAAGGAAAGAAAACGAGATATAAATGTCTGTTGAAGGCGTCTAGTGTCTTGATGGAAAACAAGGAAGGAAGCCACGACATGCATTTATAAAACACTACAGATATTTTGAAACGTGGACTTACTGGAACCGGGTCGCTGCGAGTGGCGATCTCCAGCAGAACGATGGAGTAACTGTGAAGACATGCAGAGGATATTAACTGTGTGTGTGTTTGTGTGTGTGTGTGTGTGTGTGTGTGTGTGTGTGTGTGTGTGTGTGTGTGTGTGTGTGTGTGTGTGTGTGTGTGTGTGTGTGTGTGTGTCCTTAAGTTGGATTGTGGTCTCCCTGATATTTCATTGTTAATATTATTATATTTTTTACTTTAAATACAGTCTTTCAGCGGTATGCGCCCCCTACAGGATCCTCAGAGTTACTGAAAATATGTCAATTAGTATTGAGTAATTAATAATGATGGCCATGTCTATATATTGTGAAAACCGTGTGGATATCATTTATTGTTTTGCTTCCTAACCAAGCCTGGAATATTCTCCCAGTTGCATTTAACATTGTCGTTACGAAATGCATTAGCGTTAGCATTAGCATTAGCATTAGCATTAGCTCAAGTTTTTTGCAACACTGCAATTTTTCAAACCTTTTTATCTCAAATAAAAAGTCCCTGAAATCGGCGTTCTGAAACTTTTAGTATAAATAATTATATAAAAGACTGTGTCTATGTCTTGCTTCAATTGCCAGATGTTTGCATTCTTACGATTTCAAAATGAAAAATAATTTGAACCTATATCAGAATCAGAATCAGGTTTATCACCAGGTAGGTTGACACGTACGAGGAATTAGACTTGGTGTCATGGTGCATACATACACTGATAGAGAACTATTTTAAGAAAACTATAATAACATTAAAACATTTTATTTTTAAAAACATAGCAGGGTTTACATTGAAATAGAATGGAATGAAATATGTGCAGTAATAAGAAAATAAATATATTGTGTACATTGTGAGCATCCACGTGTGTTTTTAAACAAGTTAAATGTTATTTGGGTGCACCTGAACACGTCTGCAGCGAGCGTGGGCTCCATGCTGGAGTTATGAAACTCGGGCGGCATGTAGACCTCCTGAAGTCTCTGCTGATAGGACGAAAGAGGCTCCGCCCCCTCGTGCCTGCGATACATCCTCAACCCGAAATCTGATAGATAAGATAAAATAAGATGGATCTTTATTAATCCCCGCGGGGAAATTCAGGCGTTTATAGCGGCAGCAGGGTCAGAGTTAAAAACAGGATTCACACAGGGTAAAAATAGAATACAAATTAAAATAATAATACAGCTAAAATAAAGTGATTAAGTAAAAATTGAAATGTGTTAAAAAGCCTAACAATAATATATACAAGTTGAAAAACAGTGTCCCAACGCTAACAATTAAACCAAGTACGATAAAAGGTGAAGAGTTGTGAAAAATAAATGGAGAAGATAGAGAAAATCCAAGAAAATTTGAAAGAAATGAAAGCTGCTAAAAACGGATGAGCTACATTTTCAAAATGACCAAACATTCCCAGATAGTTTTATATCTTATGTATAATCTTCACCTGTGATTTTGCAGACCCAGCGGTCGTCGATCACGCAGTTTACAGACTTCAGTCGGCCGTGACAGATCTTGTGTTGGTGGAGGTATGCCACGCCGCGCGCTATGTCTGTAGCGAAGGAAAACCTGCAGAGGAAAACACACGGAGGGTTAAATATACATTTAAACCTAAACACATGTAGAGACAGTAAGAATGAATTAAGTACTTGTGCGTTGTAAGTTATTATTATTACTTTAAGATATTTAGGATATCAGTAGTCGAACTTAGTTTAATTTTAGGGTTAAGAATTAAAACAAAAAAATAGAAAACCTTAAATAAAGTTTCAGAGGAAGCCTCAAGCTAAAAATGTAATTAAATTATTAAAGAAGTATGTTAAGAAATGTATACAAATAATATGACTTCAAACGTTTGGAATAGTGTACCGTATAAAAAACACATACATAAAGAAAAAGGCTCTTGATTATTATTTACTCTCCTGATTATTATTTACTCTCCTGATTATTATTTACTCTCCTGATTATTATTTACTCTCCTGATTATTATTTACTCTCCTGATTATTATTTACTCTCCTGATTATTATTTACTCTCCTGATTATTCCAAACCCTCATTACCATGACACAAGAGAGCCCTCTGTGTGAAGTAATTTATGTAACCCTAATTAAGCCAGCATGCTGTTGCATTTCAATTAAAGTGTGTGCGTGTGTGTGTGTGTGTGTGTGTGTGTGTGTGTGTGTGTGTGTGTGTGTGTGTGTGTGTGTGTGTGTGTGTGTGTGTGTGTGTGTGTGTGTGTGTGTGTGTGTGTGTGTGTGTGTGTGTGTGTGTGTGTGAGTGAGTGAGTGAGTGAGTGAGTGAGTGAGTGAGTGAGTGAGTGAGTGACCTGAAGC